ATATATATATATATATATATTATGTGTGACATATATATATATATATATATATAAATATATATATATATATTATGTGTGACCATATATATATATATATATATATATTATGTGTGACCATATACATATATGATGTATTCACTTGGTACATCTACAAAATCTTGAACTCTGCAGATATGTCTATTTGATGACTTTTTTTTTAAGACTGACATTTTCTAACTGGTATGTAGATGGAGCTTCAAGTTATTGCATGAAATTTCAATTGATTCCAACCTTGTGCCCAAAACTTGGTGGGAAACATCGGGGGCACAACTTTTTCTACGAGTTTACATAGACGAAGACCTGTAAAGTGTGAATATACATCGTCGTCGTTCGTAAATTGTCCTCCTTTATAATAGCTTTGTACGTGGTTCAAGAGATGTTAAATAGGAAGAAGAAATTAGTGGAAATTAGCGAAGTGATGGGTTAAAAAATGTGACTACTGAATTTGCTTCTTTGATGGTGCTCGCGAGATGTCAATTTGCTTCACGGTTGTGCGGATTTTGTGATATTTTTATTTGTATGATCGATCAGTGCAGAGTACTGCATAGAAAACAAAACCAACATCTTACCGTCAAATAACTTAGTGCGGCTATACACGATTCTAAGGAACGTTCCCGTTCATCAACGGAATAAATCCCAGTGAGAATCGGGCGGTGCGTGCCCTTTGTATTGTCAAGATTCCTGATCGCAGACTTTGTTCTCTTGTTTGAGTTTTATTCAACAATATCATGTTGTTACAATAGCAACATGTATCTGTTGAAATTGTGCAATACTGGTGTTCGGATGCATGCACCAAATATAAGGAAAAGCTTTGTGAGGAGGGTAGTTGATGCCCTATATTGAAAAACAGTCTGCAACAATCAATTGATCAGCTGTATCTACACTGCCAAAAAAAATTCAATACTATCCAGGTAAATAGTGACCAATCATCTTCGTTTCACGTATCAGGGATGCTACTACGCGCGCACTCCAACTCAGGTGAACGAATCAGTTTATTACACTTCACTTTTGGGCTTTGTTTGTCGTCATCAGAGGTATACCAAATTGATGCTTTTCTACAACCATATATTTTTCTATTTCTATACTTGAGGTAGCTGCTAGTGAGACACTCCAAATGTATGATACCGTTATTTGTGTTTATTAGGACGCAATTTTCGGCTTGTAAGACTAATCAATCGTTTCGGTTTGTGTGTATCCAGCTTCTCATTTAAAACTATTACTAATTATAAAACTAAGGGCCCTCGGAGGCTCGACCCCTCGATCGCATTGAAGCTATCCACAGGTTTGGTCGATAAAGTCGCCATACAGATTTAACTCGAGCATCAACGCTACTTCTCGCGCCACATCTTTAAGCGCCGAGAAAAGCTCGTCAAAAGAGGCATCGACGCTTTGTTCCACCCGCATCTTCAAAGTGTGTCCAATATTTAAGGAATGTGAAGCTAATTTTAATATATACTTATCAACCATGGCAATTGCCCTGTAGAATGCCAGTTCACTGTCTTTCTCGCCTAGGGTTCTTTGTCTCAGTACCTTCAGCTTCTCGAATTCGACAAGGTACTGTATATTCTCTTCACACGCGTGGGCCGTTGCATATTGCAAGAAAGCATTTTTTAGTTTTCTATACCGGTCGTGCTCGCCCGACAAGACTTCTGTCATTTGCGGATGCTCATGTCCCACGAGCGGCTTGGATCCTAGCAGGGTGCTTTTAGGTGGAGAGCTGCCCATCCTTCGCAATATACCGATATAGATCGAGTTACCCTTGCTTTTGACCCTCTCACTGTGTTGTAGATATATAGTATCTGATGAACTTAACGAGCCTAAACTGTCTGCGCACAGTTTTCTATGCCCTAGTTGTTCAGTTAGTTTGCTATTCCGGTAGCATCTCAACTCGATCATATTTCGTATAGTCAAGGTGTAATATTGTGACCGCATGGATGTAGTGAACGATCATGTTATGATGAAGCTTTGTAATATAGAAGCTCACGAAATTTGTAACAGCTCTAGACTCAGCTAGAGAAAGTCTGGGGGAAAGGCAAACGGGGTTGGGAATGCAATCGAGATGCATATGGTCGTCAAGCGCGGCTTTTCGCACCTTGGGGCCGAAGCTTCAGGCGAATGTGGAATTGAGGATGCTTAATTACCCTCGCACGAAACATTGTAAATATTCTAAATATAATCATGATACAATAGCTGAGCTCGCAAATGAGCAAAAAGAAGAAAAGGCAACCAAAAGTACAAAGGCGCAATCTGTAATACCGAATCTCGGATTGTCTCCTTTTTATCATTTTTTTAAAGTATACTTGTTAATTTTTATAGCGCTATTGCCATTTGTTAATATCACTTTTATAATAAAGCGACAGCAAATTATTATATAGATAGAATAGAAATATCTCCAAGGAGATACCCGTAAACTGCAAAGTGCTAACAACTTTCACAAGTCGTCGAAACAGTTAAAATAACGAACACATAAATATCACAGAATACTCCTTACACCCCACTTTTTACAATCTACTCTATTGTTGTTTTTTTAAAAGCGAAACAAACATATTTTTATTTTTATTTCTGTCACTGGCTGTGTAGTGCGCCACAGCACACAAAAATATAAGACAAATTTGTCCACAGTTCACAGACTCCACACTCCACGCACAACAAGGACCACAAGACACAACAAGTGAGAACAGATTACGTTTATTTATCTTACGCACGAAATATCTATTACCCACTGAAAATTGAAGAAAAAAATGGCTACGGCAAATTCAAAATTGAATATAGATAATTAAGTTAATACATGTATCTCACCAATCATGGGTCAGGAGTGATCAGTGGGGGGTGAGGGGGGGGGGAAGTCAGTATCCAATATAAAGCTTATCGTAATTGCTCCTGATATCGGAGTAGGATTTTTTTTCCAATTTAGAACTCTCAAGAGAAGACTTCAGCTATGAGTTAGACATAAGACGTCTACCTGTCGAAATCTGAGACTCTGTCACTCTGAGGACTGATGCGTGGTAGTCGGCTAGCCCTGAGGCCTGAGGCCTGAGCCCCTGACAGCTCCAGTGCTCTCAGAAGCCCTGGGGCCTGGCGATAATATCTCGCGACTCGCCAATTGGTTCAGTCATCACTCACTGACTCATTGTCCATTGACTATGAGAGTTGAGACTATGAGTATGAGGTCTGAGGTCTCCCAGGACCCAGACTCTAGAGTCCCAGTTCCAGACTCCGAGTCGCTTTGAAGAGTCAGATCTACGAAGAAGTAAAGAAGTTGACCACGTGTAGGCATGTATGTACCCGAACCCCCCAGACTCAGAGTCCACCACCAGTCCACACTCCGCACTCCACCGGACCACCATGGACCTGCAGTCCATCTCTCTCTACTAGAGAGTAGAGAGTAGGCATCTACACAATGATCGTACCTTATGATGTCCATCTCCATCCGGGGCTTATTACGCTAAGCGTAAACACGTTTTCAAAACATTGCGTTAGCGGTACGCCTGATACGTTTTCGACCTAGGCGATGAAGACTGCCAATATATTGGCAAATGTTACCCAACTATATTTGTCAAAATTTGAACGAATACCACTGATATATAAATTGAACTGTCAGTTTTGGATCCGGACCAATGTATAATTGAGCACAGTTCCTGAATTCCTGTTTTTTGCAGTTCTCATTTTAGAAACACCAAAATGAATACGGTATGCGTAAAAACTTTTATAATTGTGTGCGTTAACGTAAAACGTAGTACGTTTTCAGCTACATACCTTGTACGTTATGAGGCCTGTCGCCATCAGCAATTCAAGTAGTCAAACTGCACAACACAAGAGAAGTGAGAGAAAGAGAGTAGAAGGAGAGATCTTCCTCCCGTTTCATGATATGTGTATTGTGTTATTTGTGCAGTAAAACAGTAAATCAACATGCACCACTCAGCAGTCAGCACTCTGAGAGACTGTACTCTGTACTCTGTACTCTGTACTCTGTAGTAGACTGTCGGCGGCTCGGAGTCCGGGAGTTAGCCACTTGGCGCCTTGTGGGGGCCGGCGGTGATTCCCAACTGTGATTTCAGATTTCTGAAGTGTGAACTGACATCTATTTTAAGTATGCCTATGGTTGACGACTGTATTTTTATTATTATTAAATACTATTGATGTCTCACAACATCACAAATAAAAGTGTAATGACTAACTGTATTTACATAAATACTAAATACATAGGCTATGCCGCTATGCTGAATGTACTAAAAAATAATTGAAATAATTGACTCAACAAGGCTTGTCAAACATAGTTTTAAAAATGCCCCTATGTACATACCCTGGTGAGTCCTGGTCCCTGTCAGTGCTCTACGGCCTATAGATATATATCTCAAATCTAAATCTTGGGTCTTGGGACTTGGAGTTGGTCTTGCGATGACCCTTCAATATGGCTATTTTTTTTTAAAAACATTTTGTTTTACAAAAGAGTGAAGGCTTGATGCCTGATCAGTGATCAGTGATGGCCTGTGAATTGTGATTACTGATGCCTGTTGCAGACTTGCAGGACAACTAGCCCTGAATTTCGGACATAAAAACCCAAATAAATAGTACCTAAATTGAACAAGCCAGAAACCCTCAGGATTCTACTTTTAGATGACATTTTTAGTGTTTGATTTATATTGGGCCAATACCAATCTGTGACATAAAACTATTTTGTCTTATTCAATTTTTTGTACAGTACTGTAGTATAACAGTACTCTCAAATTGTAAAAAAAACAACGTATTGTTTGTTTTATTTGGCTATGTATTGTTTTCTGAATAATAAAAAACAGAATAAAAACAAATCGTGTGGGATTGGCGACAGCCAAAAGCTCAAACGTTATACGTTATTTTATTTCACAACAGGTTTCCGGCCAATTTTGTATTTTTTTTTACGATAAAGTATAGGGACATGTGGAGGCCGGAAGGCTGAAGCGTCGCTTTCAGTATTAATTATAAACGTGCAACCGTTAATAATATTTTACACGTTCACGTTCTATTAAAAATACTTTTTATTTATGTGGCCCATAACTTATTGACGTCCCGTGGGCCCCTGGGTAATGTCTAATAAATTGGTGAATCAGCAGCCTCGTGTGTGAGAAAACTGATTGGATTCGTGAGTGTAAAAACTGAAGTCGCTCGATGGCTCGAGTCTTAAGTCTCAACTCCCAAGTGTCCACGGTCATGTTCTAAATCGTTCACGTTGATCCATACTGCAATGACACTGACTGCGTTGAACTACTCACGTCTCGTTTACATCTCATTTTATCATTTATCTGAGATAAGAGTCTACACAGATGTGAAAATAGTTTTTTTATTTATCGTTTCAACATGAGATTACTTAGCAACCGATAAGGCTGAGCTGGATAGTATTTTTATGTCAATTTGTCATCGTGTTAAATCATGTGAGATTACTTGGCAACCGATAAAGGTGATTAAGTTGAAAGTCGAGTCATCGCGCTAGAACATGAGAATGAGTGCTATTGGAAAGCCGCGCCATCCTGTAGAACACCGAGATATCACATTATTTGTATGCACACAGCTACCGATAGGGGTGAGTAGTTTTGAAAAGCCAGGCTGATTGCTGGATTCCCATTACCGCCTAAGAAGTGTTTTATTCAATTCTAGCCAAGCACCAAGCTCCATAGTACACGTCTCAGTGTCTAGTCTGAGTTAATAAGATTAGTGTACGATCATTGTCTAAATAGCCTATGATCACAAGTTTCAATGTTGGCTTCTAATATTACAGTGCGAATTAAGCACATTAGCTACCGAGTTTGGCATCTGATACGTCTGTTTTGAACACTATTTAGATGGGTCACTAGCTACCGATTCTGGCATCGGATATATCTGGTGTGAATACTATTTCGATGGGTTTTGGGATATATATAAATTTCAATGATGCACACTCGCTTTGAAAGATACATATGTGCGCCTTTCTCATCGATAGTCGATTCGTAGGTACATATATACAAGGGAGAATATAATTTGGACTGAAAGAAGACCTTTTTGTCCATCGAATCATTTGCTACCAGGAGATTTGTAATTCGCCGACTACTGGGGATATCAATTTATTATTGTTGTTTCAAAAGAGCATCAAAATCCTTGAATATACGGTGAATACGGCACGCAAAATCGTATCCATTCGTGAGCGAGGAATACAACGTCGAGGGAAAAACGAGCGAATTGTCCATTGCATCAATTTGCTACCAGGAAATTTGTTGTTTGTATTAGACGTCGACAAATGACAAAAACCCACCCCCCAAGTCAATAAATGCGGTGAATACGGCACGGCACATCGTATCCATTCGGCAGCTTATGTCGTATCTTGGTTAAATAAATATTCATTTTACTGATTTAGTTGGGGTAACGCTCAAGTACATGGGCCACTCCTTGGCCTCCGGCAGCGCAAGCAGCTAGTAACGCGAATGTGCCGTCCTCGTGGATTAATCGGTTGGCAGCTGTGGTGGTAATACGGCCGCCAGTGGCTCCGAAGGGGTGACCGATGGAGAGGGATCCACCCCAAAGGTTAAACTTGTCCATAGGCATGGTTCCAATCTATCAAGTCGAGGGTTGTGAAGATGTAGAAAAGGTTTGAGAGGCGGGAAGTCAAAGGAAGATGGGTATGTGGATCTATATCGTCGGACTGGTAGAGCAACTACCGCTTATACACCAATATACTAGTTTCGATCGATAGCATGTAGTCAAATACTTTAAGGTCTATCATACCCACGCGTACATCGCACAGTATGCCAGTCCACAACCCTACCTTGTTCTTGCGGCCCATGTGCTCCTGACAGAACTTATCGGACTCCATAGCCGTGATGTTAGACAGAATCTGTCCCGCGAAAGCCTCGTGGTACTCCACCACGTCCATGTCATTCAAACTGAGGCCGGCCATGTCTAGGACCTTACCAGATGCGTATGCAGGGCCGAGAAGTAGCTGATCCTTGGGGTCCTACAGGATGAATGGATTGATGGGTGTTGAAATCCATGATAATGAAGTAGTGAAGCCGCAACTGATTCTTGCGATTACTCAAGCTATATCGGTAGGTAGGTGCTAAGAAATCAGTGATGTGGTAAAAAAATTAATAGAGATGGTACCTGATCCTTGCGATCCTACAGATGAAACGTTGATATTTTCAAACATCGATACACGACGACAGATCTATGTACTATAAACACACTACACTGCAACATAAACCAACGGCATTAGCATTCGGAGGTAGTCACAGATTCACACACATGGATACCGCTCGGCACCAACCCCTAATCCAATCCAGGACATACCAGGGCAACGAACGTGCACTCGCGCAAGTAGGCTAAGGGCTTGAGACCCAGCGCAAGAGCCTTCTCCTCTGACATGATCATGGTGGCGGACGCACCATCCGTCAAGAATGAGGAATTACCCGCTGTGACAGTTCCGTGGGGTTTGACGAAGGCGGGCTTTAGCTTAGCCATCTTCTCGGCGGGGACAATGCGCACACCGTTATCGGCGGTAACGAGCTTGGACTTGCCCGGGACCTGGTTAGTAGTAGTAATATGAGAGTGTGTTAGACACGAAAGTTAGGATGTACGTGGGAGGTATATAAATGATATATGATGGCCCCCCACAAAGCGGTAATAAGAAAATGCGTAGAGCTGCGATGATGCGCTGCTCATATATAAACATTGAATCGTTTACCTTCGTACTGCGACAAACTAAAAATCGGAGTATATGCAAAATAGAGATTCAAAGCATGTTTAACAACAGATTCCGATAGAACCTACACGTTGGGCACCGTAAAGATTGATACTCTACTACTGGAAAGAACATGCGAATACTAACAGTACTTGGTTACTATCTCGAAGTGCACATTAGACTACTAGTAGGCAAAAAACTAAAAAACTTGATGCACTCCATCTAGCTAATATGCTGTGTATGCCGTACCGCCATATGCGAACGTGTACTTCCACATCATACCTTGACAGGGATGATGTCGCGCAATAGACCAGCGTCGAATGCGTCCTTGGCGTTACGGTGAGACATCATGGCGAACTCTGCAGAAGCATAAGAAGAATCCCATGACAAAAATAGATCAGTATAAATAGATACAGATGAAATGGTTCCGAGTCATTGCAGGTGGTGTACAGGCAGGTCACATCACAGACCAAAAATAGACAAATAAAAAACTTCAAATGAATGGATGCAGATTGAATGTTCGTTTCTGTACCTATCTCACCCAGACAAGACATCACGTTTCGAAATAAACTTTCACACCCCATCTTTAATATGCGTGTCTGACCTCTCTACCACCATCTAAACTGCATACAACCAATAATATATACATATACATATATGCATGTATATGTACATATACACACACACATATATATATATATATATATAGACACTCAGTGAAGTTCACATAAGAATGCTAGTAATACGAGATATCGCATGTGATCATAAACACTTCACAACGTAAATATACCACATACCATACTGACCATAGACACTCGGACGTATTCATACCGCGAGTCTATGTTCATGTTCATAGGTACCTTATACCGTACGATCACGTATAAACACTTTATCACCTACCATCTTGAGCCTCGCGTGAGATGCCAAAGGCTGTGCACAGACGGTCGGCAGAGTGTCCCATGATCTCTCCGGTGGAGAACTCAGCAACAGCTGGAAGCTCAAGACCGATATCTGAGCCCTTGAGCTTGCGGGCAAGTCCGAATAGGCCAGCGGGACCTATTTTTAGAAAGAGTGATAGATTTATATTAATATTTAGAACGAGTACTCTGAAAATCACCGCGGTACACTCGCTGAATCAGTGCGGTTTGATGGTGGGCTAATGAAACTCAACCAAGGCTGCTACGATATTTAAAAATGAGCGCAACTACTTCATCTAAATTCTTCGACGTCTCAGGTTATACAGCTTCGGTATTCTGCTCCCATCTTGCAGTGTATTAGATACAAATAAGTATGTGTAGCAAAGGCACATAGGAAATGCGATCGGGTTCTACAGCCTAAGCTACTTCCCACATATACGGAACGAGTAATCACAATGTCCTCATTGCCCTCACAGTGCGCAACAGAAGCAGAAGTAGTCTATTGATTGGTGTTGGGCGAGTCGGGAGAATGATAGCTGCACAACATCTAGCTATACAATTAGGCCGCAAATTACAATTAGCTACAAATAGGATTCAGAATTGTAAGACCAACACACATAGTCTTAGCGTGTTTCCGTACCTATACTGCCCAAGCCTTCCGGTTAATAGAGGCAAACTGCTTACTAGCGTAACACAAACAAACCTAGAGCTCACCAGCAGGTCACTCATGCATGCACCCTTCAATAATAAATATGAGAATGATATACTGTTGGACAGACAGATAATGCATACAGATGCGTACCTTTAGCCTTCTGTGACGCTAGAAGAGTCTTTCTGAGGGGTCGACTGAGACGGATAGGTACATCGGACATTGTCTCGGAACCTATGAACAAGCGGGTAAAAGAAAAGAAAAATTAGTTCACAAGGTACATGAACACCTGAACAGATGAACATCTGTGGTGTCAATTCGTATGCATATACATTCATAGTACACATAAACTTGGAAGACCAACTTTGCAGATCCGTACGATATACGCAGCAAGGCTATTCAGTAATTCGATCGGCTTAGAAAGCAGATACAGCGCGAGCTACTGCCCACATATACGGAACGAGGAATTCAAATGTCTTCATTGCCATCAGTCTGTCTTATTGTATTAGATTATATGCACATACATACATAAATAGGTCATAACTACCAAGACAGAGCAACATAAGCACACTTTGATAATACTCCCGAGACAGGGCCGCAGTGTATGCAAGAACCTCAAGCTGTCTGGGTATGATGGCATAAAAGTATACCATATACATCACAACTCAACATCGATCAATAACACAACTTCGTCAACAAGGAATGGGCCACGGTGTCTGTAACTGTCCTGTTCAAGTTGAATGACTGATGTATACAAGGCCACCAAGTATTTCAACCTCGAATACATTTTAGGGTTTAGGGTTTATAAGACTAGAATAGAACATGCAGAGCCAAATTGACCTACATACCTCCAGCAATGCATATATCGGCGTTGCCTAGCTGAATCATCTGCATGGCTGATTGAATGGCTACATTAGCAGAGATGCATGCCAGAGTTACGGTGTTCGAGGGAACGGTATCGGGGATACCGGCGCTAAGAGAGGCCTGCAGAGTGGTACAGAAGTGGAAGTGGAGGTCAGTATTCGTTACAGTATACGTATAGGTACATGTCCTATGCCATTATTTGTATACATGTCCAGTGTCCCATGTCATGATATGCATACATGGCAACCATGTTTTTGTAGTTATGGTCACAGATGTGCACGGTTGATAAAGGTTTGTAGTACACAGTATCGTATTAAAACACTGAAATAAAAAGCCCACAAATGTAGAGAGCAAGGTTGAAAATACCATATACTGGAAAACGCTAAACTGTGTACCATCATAGTAACCCTGGCTGAGCCAAGCATCATTGGATAAACTATATGCTGAATATCACCGTTATATACTGTTTCCTGTAGCAGATTCAACCCCAACCCTTACGACATCACGAGTGCTGTTTGCACTATGGTATGCTTAAAGCCTAATGGCTGCTCTGCGGAAGCTTATAACTATAACAATGCGAACGAACAGATACACCCATGAAACTTTTCACTATTCTTCGGACGGATTGAGTACATACATACATACATATATATAACACACACATATATATATATATATATATACATATATATACACACACACACATATATATATACATATATCAATATATAAATTTATACATACATATGTACATATGTATCTGTACACACTCATATAAATCCCTGCGAGATACCAAACACACACCACTCACCTCACGCGCAATGTTGCTGGTCTTGGCATCCTGGATTACCGTACCCGCGGTTATGTAGTCAATGTCGGCCGGGTTGATATCAACACGGTCCAATAAGCCGGAGAAGGCATATCGCAGCAAATCATAGGCCATAAGGTCATTGTATTCAGTGCCACTCACACAGAACGGAGTTCGCACACCCTCAACAAGCACTACATTGCGACCGATACGCTTCTTCTCGACCTTAACGGCGGGGGCTGTGGGTGGGTGTGAAATGAACAGGTGTGGGTTGTATGTTGTATGTACATGTATAGCAAGCACTTGTGATTATATAAATATATATAAACAGATCAGTGTCGGACGATAAGGCTGTATGTTTGTGCCTCTAGTTTGACAAAAAAATGTACGCGTATATAATATAAACCATCGGGGGTGGTTGGGGATATGATTAAGATTTAAATAAACAAGTAATGGAACGCGCATGTGATGAACATGTGGCAGCAATCCTTTAAATAGAGTGCGAGGTAGTTGCGTGAGGAATTATTCGTAGAACACGAATAACACACCAGTAGTGCATCCCGAGATTATTATTAGTATAACATTACAGCAAACATACATGCATATATATGCACATATATACATATTGAGATTAATAAAAAAATAACATCTGCGTTGCATATTGGTTTTCTGTTATTCTAAGGTAGTAAATTCATAATCCACACTTGAAATAGCACCACTGGCTTGATATTGAAACAGTGCTACAGACATTTAAAATATAGAATCAACATGTCATGTCTGTAATAGCATACTTTATTCCAAGTGAACAACTTGGAACACACAGTCGCGTGTCGTGACACTTAATGGATTTTTATAACTCTTGTTTGGGATGTGCGTGCGCCTGTGTGACTGTGTTCCATGTATGTAGATGTGCTGGTAGTCGAAGACGTTGTTTCCGAAAATGCAATGCCACCAGCGACGGAAATGCATGCAGATATACACACGCAGACTCTATCAAGTAGCAACAGTAAGCAGCCACACAATTTTTCAGGGGTAATATATGTAGTATATAATATAAGCCAAGCGGAGTCATAAATATATAAATATATAAATATATGTATGTAAACGATATAGAATATACATATACATATAAATATACATCTATATACATATATAATGTGGGCAGTCTGGGATACCACGATTGTATAGTCAGAATTGAACAATAAATCCGAGCTTGTATATACAGATACACGGATAGAATAGCCGTGTACTCTACTACATGGTTTGCAAGTGGTAGAAGCAACCATTCCAATTGCCGACACTTTGCCTGGCTATATTCAAACAACCTATATGTTTACTTAACCTTTGCTGAATCAATGCATATGTAAACTTCACAACGTAGTGAATATAGTCAATCTCCACTAAAATATCATCTACCGTACTCAACTTGACCTAGGCCTTTGTTGCCATAGAAGAGCCTACAGATCAATACATTGATGCACATTATAAATATCAATGTTGATTCCAATGTTTATTGGGATACTACAAACCGTAATGATACTCCACTAAACTAACCTACTCCTGTCCGTTGAAACAGTGTCTCTGTAAAACTTGAAAAAGAATATACAATGATGTATGTAATACTCTATGTAACAAATAAATTGTTTCTTAACCAACTCAATTCAAATAAATCTTTAATTTAACTTACCCTTGTTAGCCTTGGCCTGTTTTGCCTTGGTGCTTGTGGCCATAGATGCAACGGCGATCTTGGATACCACTGGGGTGGCACCTACAGTCCTGGAAGCTACACTCTGCAAAAACATCTTTAATTATATGTATGTAGTGTGTGTATTGTATGTGTGTGTGATACGCGAGCACTTGTGGAGGGAGTGTGTAGTCGTGTGTACGTGCTGCTCCTGTGTATACTATATTTATATTACTTTATTATAGTCACCACTCACCAGCTGGTTGTTGGGTGTGTGCCTGGCCTGTGTGGGTTGTTAGTTGTTGCTGTCACATAGAATTTAACCGAGATGTCAGCCCTTTTGCAAATGGTGTCATAGAAATCGCAGGGGAGCGAAAACGTACTGGGTTGGTGTTTGATAAAAGGCATAAATTAGCTATCCCGTTTTGTACTGCCAGCACGTCCCATGGACGAGCTGGAAAAAACGTAAAATCATTGTTTTGTATTTCTGAATATATGACACGAGCAGTGGTCAAACTGGAGCTATAAATAAAATGAAATAAAATCTGGTTGATGTTTCATCCACATTCCACAGAATCCACAGTTCCACACACACACACTCTCTCTCTCTCTGAAACAGTGACAACTGACAACTGACAACTGACAACACAAGAGAGAAGAGCAAAAGTGAGAAGAGACACCCTCAGAGGCTCAGGCGCTCAGCCCTGCGCTCAGCCCTGCCTGATGCCTCTACCATCACATGGTAGAGATCACGCTTCGCGGGATCCGGGGCCCCGGGGTACCGGACGAGGGGTGTAGGACGTCCCTCTTTTAGAGTCCCTCCAGGCCTCCACCGTGAAACTATCCTACGAACCCTAAGCGACATTTGACATTGCTACATATTTTTGTCATTTGACATTTTGACAAATGACGTAACTGTGTATTGGAATATTCTCACAATTCGAATTCACTTACTGTGGGCAATTAGACATAGCTATGCAACATGTTCACATTCGAATACACTTACTATGTGAGTGTCTGTCTATATATGAAATATGCTCACACTCGAGTATACTGACTGTGCGTATGTAGACATAAATATGCAACAAGTTAGCATTCGAATATAACTCGGGTTTTCCACTACTTGCGAGTAGTAGGAAGCGTAAATGCTACTCTCATAGATTGAAAGTCACCTGCCATACTCCCTTATATGCCAAATTTCAAAAGAGTCACTCAAATTAATAATATATGAATATTGGGATAGGAGAATTAAAAGCTTGCGATTACAAACTTGTTCTTAAATATTCATCATACATGTGTAGTATCTAAGGGGTATAAACTTGTACAAAGTATCATGTTTGAGTTGATTAGATAATACATAGATTGTTTTTCGTCTTCGAACTAGCCTTCGAATTTTGCACTTTTACAAATCATAGACCGCGCGTATGTATCCAGGGTTGGTACCTTTATATAGTTAAAGAAAATAAGCGATAAATGCACTCGTATTGAACGTGGAATACGAAATGTGTCATATATCCAGTTCGCTTAAGATATTAGCACTCATATTAGACGCTTATATCGAAGTACACTCTAGAGTATACTTCAGCACTTCTGATGTATGCTGGATTGACCCTGAAATGACCACACATACAAAAGTATTTTTAAAGTACTGAATCTTCGGTGATAGCTAACCACTAAGTACTCTGTTGTTTCGGGTGACATATTGTTTTCGACACTCAAATTGCAGTCTCTCGTTGTCAGATAGCACTTATTTGAATCAAAGCCACACCAAACACTGAAGGGGCGGTCGAAATGACTGAAACGAATCCACAGATTTCATAGTAGGTATCATTAACTCCAAGGCCCTCGAAGTATTTCCATGTATTTCGCTTGAAATAGATCTATTTACCAATTACAGCTATGGTGAGTGCCTCTATTCTGCGTGAGCAGCCATTTAGCTGGAACTGCACCCGTACATACATGTCTTTAGACTAATCAGTACTCGGAGGTCGTTCTATTTCATCCTTGGAAGTAACAAGAGTAGTTGAGATCTACCGCAGTCTCCTCAGCCCGACGTCGCACAACGAACCTCAATAATAGATTGTGCTCGGCTACTACCTAATTGGCGAGAAAGATGATATGTATGTTCCAAGTCTTAGATACTTTAGTATCAGCCATGAACGTCGGAACTAGTTGGCGTAAACTGAAGCACTAGCATAGGTATTTTGAATGTCAAACTATTGAACAAGACAGGTACAAGATTGCGTTCTGTTTATTCCCCGAATCCAAACACCGACACTCACTTCGAAGACTGAAGAGTACAGTACAATATCAACGGGTCCCGGCCTAATAACAGCCCAAAATCGATCAGATTTACAAAAAGTTGGCAAGGAATTCAGCGCCGTACAGTTGTAGTTACCCCAAGCGTCTGGTCAGTGAACTGAATCATTAAGTGTATGAGTTTCCCTGTGAGACGCAAGACCTATATTCCCTGTCTCAGCCCAAAAGGGATTTCAAAGAAGCGGTTATGAACTTGCTCCGAATACATCCCCTATGTACAGGAATGTACACTGTCCATGTATGTCCACGAGTCCAAATTACCGGCACGCACATCCTGACTCATGCAGCATTTTAACTCTTTACATTATTGCGAAACTTGTTTGTGGACAAGTGGCCAGTCTTTCTTATTGGCCTGGCGCTGTGTGGATGCGGTCAGAATGCCAGCCATACGGCTGTCAGCCCTTCTAGGCAGGCTCGCTTATTTCCACCAGCACTGAGTGGGTGTGGCTATCTGGTATGCACAACTATAATAAAATCTTTCTGATAGGTATGAACCAGATATCCCAAGATCATAAAATGCCGGCAATAAGGCTGTCAGCTGTTGTGCTGACTATGTTTCTGGTCTAGACAGGTTCGCTGATGCCCGTATGCTGTGTGTGGGTGAGATCCGAAAGCCAGCACCTCGGCCAGATGAGATGGGTGGGACTGCGGGGTGGTCAGGACACCCTTCCAGTGTACGTGCGCGGTACTCCGGAATCACTGGTGGAAGTGCTTTAAACACAGATTTGATTGGGTGTGAACAAGCGCAATATTCGGGAATCATTGCTCTGGAACTATTGATGGGAAGTAAACAGGCACAAGCCGCTAATACGGGGCGGATTCAAACGGAGGATATACAGTACGCACCATGGCCGTTACAAGCGTTCTGGTACCAAATAGATACGGTTTTCGCCTGTCCCCGCTGAGAACAGCTAGGTCTGACATTCATCCCGCTCTCATTATGAAGTACAATCCACACGCATGCCGGATGGGAACATTGGGGAATATATACGGGTGCAGAAGCAAGGCATACTTTACGTCGACGTCGTGCCTTCTACGAGTTTGACAGCAAACACTCCGCGCGCGGAGTTGAAGCAAAGTATCCGCCTGTCCGCCTGCAATGTAGTACAGTGCATGATAAATATCACTGTGTGAGTGTTACGGATATATGCCCTTCACTTTGTTTAGGAAGCACTACTTGTTCTGAATCCAGGTCGTATGTGTGAAGGAAGCACAAGAAACAGATAGACGGCGCAAGTTATTATACCGCAAGGCAGGGTGAGGTGTTAGAGAAACAAGTGCCATTAACAACGCAACGTACTACTTTAGAAAATAAAAAATGGTGTGACTAGCTCCTATTCGACTCTGCCTTCATCACTACGTGCAATGCGTCCGACCATTTCACCGCGAGACATGTCGGTGACAACTATGTCACGCCATAATGCGGATTCCCACGGAGTCATTGACAAGTACGAAATACAATAATTTGTATACATATGAACTGACATATGCTCACTTGTGTATACATATGCACGCGCAAACATACATCTGATAGAAGAGATAATAATTCGTATGCCCACGGCGTAAGTCAACAGGTACGATACACAATAGATTGATGCGCACACGGAAACGTATACGCACACACATGCATACACATGCAATTAGGCGTACGTATGTATAGCTTTCTAGCCGATGTTCAGTATACATTTAGCTCAGCCCTAAACCCTAATTTATGGCACATCGATGGCTACATTACATACTCCATTAATCAGCACATAGTTCCTAAAAAAAGTAATCCAGTTTGCGACACGCACCCATATCCATATACAACAACATACATACACAACCATGTACAAGTTGAGTGACACGGTAAGCCTTTAGAGTTTGCTCAGACATACCTTAGCCGCAGCTTGCAGATCGCTTAGAAGTACCAGTCCTTCTGTGATTGTACCGGCCACTAGTAACTCACTTCGTTGAACACCCGCGAGCAACCCACAACTCACAGGCGGAGTCACGAGCTCGCCTGCATCCTATACGGTCCAACACAGATACATATTACATTAGTATCAATCTATACGGCTCAACTCAGATATATAGGATATCAGTAACAACCTATATGGTACAACACAGTTATATAAGATATCACTAAATGCACATTATACTTTGTGGACAGTTGACATTGACGATAACAATACATTTTCGAATGAAACGGGTCAGAGTACGAGATAGACGGATGAGCGAAGCGTCATTATCATTCTTGAATATCTATGTACGACACGACGATATTAGTGATCTATAATGTATCCCACGTGCTGGCGTTGGGGGGACATCGTGCGTACCTAGACCAGTTTGGTCTGACAGAGAGCTTCGAACAATCCATGTGATAGCAATTAGAACCAGTAAACGAATCACAATGGTGATATGCTTGCATCAGCACTCACGTTTTCCACAGCCAGATTGCAGATAGAGGTCTCGGTGATTTCGCCCCGCTCATTGTACAGTACGACATCGAACGCCTGGGATAGTAGAGTAAGAGTGCAGCCTACTCTATTATGATATTTCTTGATCTAGCAAAAGTTAGATAGATGCACATATCAGGTGCAGAAAAAGAAAACGAAAAGGTTTTGATAACCAGGGATGCAAAATCTAGAACAGATTACATGCAAAATCTAGAACAGATTACATGCAAAATCTAAAATAGATTCCAAACATAGACTTCATCTCAGACACACCTTGCCACCTCCAATACTCGCACGCGCACGTGCCTCGTTGTATGTGGTGCGATGAGTGGTTTTGAAGCGCAGAAACACATCACGGCTACATACGGGTTGTGTATCTAGTACAACTTCCAAGTCTGGGATATGTTAGGCATAAATATGTGTAGAACTTAAAAATGAGAATCAAATTGAATTCGATATGTAACTGCAATATACTGTGTACACTGTGAATCTAAGACAAACTGCCCCTGAACATATGCATGGAAAAAAAAGTGCGAGAACTATACGGAGCCAATAGCAGGTTTGTACCTTGCAACTGTGGCGCAGTCCAGGGCACGAATGGCAGGGCCTGTAACTCCACACTTTTGCCATCGAAGAGTAGACGTACCTACGTACAGCAAAGGAATAAGACGATAACGGACACAGGTATGAACATAATCAACAGATACTCACAGTGCCATATGATATTGATGCTTGGTATATATAAACTGTGCTGTAGAACTACACTCGCAACACACGCACCTCTTCATAGCAGCACTGGTTTTGTTGTGTACTGAGAATGGCGCACGCCTTGTGTTCGGGTGTATGCGTCGATGAAGCAGACAATAGACTTCACCTATATTTATACATATATATATAAAACAATAATATATATATAAGAATAATAATAATATAATAATATATATATATAGATATAGATATATATATATATATATACTAATACGTATATACAGTTGTATTATTTATATATACATATATATATATCTATATATATGCGTGTGTTTATTTGTATATATACGCACATATGTGTATTTATATATATATATATATATATATGCATATGTATATGTATATATATATATATATATGCATATGTATATGTATATATATATGTGTGTGTGTGTATAATTATGTATATATATATATATATATATATATATATATTATATATATATGCATATATATATATATATATATATATATATATATATTTATGCATATATATATATATATTTATGCATATATATATATTATATAAATATATATATATATATATATGGGTATAGAACGAACTCTGCGCTCGAAAACAATTCGCTGCATTTGTTTCGGATACTGAGAAATAGCACACGCCTCGCGTTCACTTGCGTGCGCCGATGGAAGCATTGCAGAGAATAGACTCTACACAGGGAATATGTAGTGTTCACATTAACAAAGTAGAAGATTGCAAACACAGAAACATAGACTATACACACACACATATATATATATATATATATATATATATATAGTATATATATATATATATATATATACTATATACGTACGTACGTACGTACGTTACGGTACGGTTCGGTTACCGTTTACCTTACTTAATTAACTAATACTAACTAACTAACTAAGTAGTAGTACGTA